AAAAAATATATTGATAAATATGAGCATGACTTTTCTATTTATTAGGAGAAATACATCAAAGTTACCTTATATCAGGAATAGAGAACCTTGATTTGATTAAAGAATAAGAAAAAAGACATTTATGTCTTTTTATCAGAGAATGTCATCCATAATGTCAAACTAAGTGTACATGTAGCAAAATCGCTCATTTATATAGCATTCCATTGGTATAGCCTTGCACAAAACCCTGGCAGGAACCTAAAGAAAATTGCATCTACTTTGTCCACTCATAAACCCTACTAATTTCTTACACAACCTCACAAACACGCCCACTTAATTTGCAGATATGCCCTCGTTCCCTCGGAAAGGCTCCGTCACAATCTGCGAAATCAACAGAGACCTCAGTATTAGCTTTTAATTTATTTTCTTATATTCAGTTTATAGTAAATTTCAATGTGATTCTCATATTTTGGTTTCTTTCATTCAACAACGCAGTTACTGCAGATAACCTCTCTGATGATCAAGCCAAAGAAACCTACGCCAAAATTCTAGTAAGCTGTTATTAAGTTCATCTTTAAGCAATTAGGATTTTGGGGTTTTTTTTAAAATGATTGAAATTTTAGCATTAATAGGTTGTAATAATTTGCAGGGAACTGTATTTAGTCCAGTCCCATTCGAACCCGATAATTTATTGGGCACGGGAGAGGAACAGCCAGAGCCAGTTGCTTCCGGACATGGCAGTTTAGGTTTTCTATCTGTGACATTGCGGGCCCTGTTGAGTGGTTCTCTCAAGCCCCTCTTTCGGCCCACAGATGTAATGTCCCTCTTTAATGCACGCACTTTATCATAATTATGTCATGTTTAGTTATATATTTGCCAGTCTTCTAGCACATGTATATATTTTTCTACCTTTAGAAAGTTGTGTTTAATTTGGGGCCTTATGTACCGCATTAGATATTGTGATTTGGTCAGCGTAAAGCGATAGATTTAGACCAGAGTATAGTGCATAGATTTGAACATGTTTGGGCCATGCTGTAGAAATCTGCTTGCATCAATTAAAATCATAGTCATTAGGCATGTATATCATAAACAGGTTGCTGGCTTAATAAAAGGGAAAGGTATAAGGGCTAGATGTAACTGAGTTTCCCTAGTGGGAATGTGTGATAGTTCTTTAACAATTTTTTGATTTCCATTTTCAGGTAAAATTGTTGCAAGATGTTGATCTTCGTGGTGTAAGTTGGCACCAGCGCAAGCATATTTTAGCATTTATTTCTGGGCCACATCACGTGACAATTCGCGATTATGATGATTCTGGTATGCTCACTTGTATGATGCTCTTTTTATAACTCTTCTTGTAGCATTTTTTATTATCATCTCTAGATGCTCCTAACCGATTTCATTTTTCTATTTTTTTTTTGAACTGTTCTGTTAAACCATTTTTGTTTTAATAGATAGGAAGGATCCTTGCATTTTGATTCATGAATCCCAGAAAGATGTGAAAATTGTAGAATGGAGGCCGAATAGTGGGAAGACACTTTCTGTGGCATGCAAGTTAGTATCACAAAATCTATTATTTGTTCCTTTTTGTTTAAATCTTGTTGACGTTTTGCTAGAAACTTTTAGCTTACTGATACTTTTAATGTCTGAATGAATAGGGGTGGAATTTGCATTTGGTCTGCTTCTTATCCTGGCAATGTTGCGTCTGTGAGATCTGGGGTTACCTCAGGCATGCTTTCTAGGGGCTCTATGACTAGATGGACTTTAGTGGATTTCCTTCAAAGTTCTGATGAAGAACAAATAACTTCTCTTTCGTGGAGTCCTGATGGAAGATATCCAATTCAGCTATAGTGACGCAGTTCTGCTATCACTGATAGTCATGCAACTTTTTGATATTTCATGTCTCATTTTATAGCCATTCCATACTTCCATGATTTAATGCTGTTCTTTATCATTTGATATACTAATATGTTAGGAAAATGAATGCATGAAATACAATATGTGCCTAATTTGCTCGTTTCCTGGGTCTTTCCAAGTCATTTTTGTTCACCAAGTTGCTTCGGTTTACTGACTTTGTTAAGGTTGCAATCAGTTGACGTTGTACTACTACAAATTTCACCATCTTTTTGCTCAATAATTTTCTAGCCTGTGAACAGATGAGACATGCTTCATGTTTGGCGCAGAAATACTGTTCAAACTAAGTGTAAAGCTCCCTCAGGGCCTTTTTTTCTCAAGTTCACCATCTTTTTGTTCGATGACTTCCATCTCGTGAACAGATGAGATGGGCTTCGTTTTTGGTGCATAAATGCTGTTCAAACCAAGTTTAAAACACCCTTGAGGCCTTTTGCTCATTCCTCGCTTCTCAGAACAATCAATGACTAACTTATAGGAGTTTTTATTTATCCAAAGTTTTCATGTTAAACTAGTTTGATTCACTGCTGTTTCATGCACAATGGGGAACTTTCTGGTTCTTTTTATTGTTCTTTTCTTCCTGATGCTTCTTCTCTAGGGAATCTTTACTATCTAGCGAGCTTCACATCCCACTGGAAGTTTACCAGGGTTGTAATATTAACTGTGTTTTTAATTGTCTTTGTTAATATTTTACACTAATGGGATTGAAGCCATACAAGCTAGTTACAAATCTGACAATATGATATCAACTTTTCCGCAATTACTAGCTTGGGGGTTAAATAAATAGCTTCAGTTATGCTCAAGAAGGAAAGAATGGACATAGTTGTTATTATAAATTTGTAATTTCCTGTTGGGTAAAAAAACTTTTGGCTTTAATATCTAAGTTTTTGTTCAAAACTTACAGGTTAATACAAACATTTATACTTAATGAATCTGAAATTTTCCTTGACTCAGTTTTACATATTTAGCATCAGCTTCATACGAGAGTTCATCATTCACCATATGGGATGTTGCACAAGGTATATAATTTGTCATGTATTAAAGCAAATCAGTTTATTCAGATTCTGCAATCAAGCTAAAATTATTTACTTCTTTTTAGCATTAGATGTCATTTCCTTGTCTGTTCAATGCCAATCTTTGAACTCGTTGATCATTAATGATTTTCACGAGCTTATTTACCATTCACGTTGCACAAAATTTGGTTCTTGCTTGTTAAGGTTTCATTCAGTTCTCATATACCGTATTTCTGTTGCCTGGGCCTCAAAATAATTTATGATTATTCACTTCTTGTGGAATTTCATGTTTGCCATTTATGTTCAATATGTAGGCACGTGGGAAATCCAATAAATATAGTTCAGTCTGTTATAGTTCCTCTATTAAACTTCTATTTTCTTACTTCACACGGAAATGAAATCGTTTGACTAAGAGAAATTTTGTTCAGAAAGGTTATGTTTTAATGCAAGTATGGAGCATTTAGAAAGACTATCCGTGTCAAGACCCAAGACCATGAATATTGCTTTGTGTTAGAAGGCAGATTATCAATGTTACTTTGGTTTTCTGAGAAACAAGTTCTGGTTGTGGTCATCTTTTCTAGAAGTGGTGTTTCAGACCCCTACGATATAGACCTCAAAATTATAAAATTCAGTCCAGTCAATGGAGAACGAAGTGATACTGTGTGAGAATAACTTTCGTAGCTTTCATCCGAATAAAAGGTCCGGTTGTTCGTGAGGAGAAGCAGGCAGAAATGTGTAAAGAAGCTACAGTCAATTTCATACAAATAAACAAAGATTTCTATTTGCACTTCATAAAATATGACTTTATTGTTTTGTGGAATAAGCATATTCAACCTAAAAATGTGCTTTTATAGCTAGATAATATTTGCAATTGTGCTATTGTAATATGTTGGGATTTTTCCTGTTCGAGATAGAGCCTTGTGACAGTGCCAACTCTAGAATAAATGTTCCTGCTCAAGGAAAATGACCCACTTTCTGACACGCGCACTCTACTTTCAAGTGGTTCAAGAATTCTCATGAAATGACAGTTCAAGATTAAACCAGGAGCGGACAGGACTCTGGGGGCTATTAGCATTATCAGAGATTACTTAAGAACCATTTTTCTTTGTTTGATTATGGACATGTACTTGGGAAGAAAAATGAGGGTTTATCTGGAAACGTTCTAGGCTACTGCCATAAAATGTGAATTTGGTTTAGATGATTGAGCTTTAGGTTATTGTCTGTCCAAAAATAAGATAATATGACGCAATACAGACATAGTGACGTGATTTTTCTTAAAAAGTACGAAATGGTCACCTTATGGACACGTCAAAATTCTTCAAATAGTAAATTTATATATTGAATCTTTATTTTTTTTCCCTTTTAATATAGGCACGACACATGCCACGTTGACCACTAGCCCTTTTAATGTCCCTAAAGCATTACTCAGGCATTGGAAATTTAAAAAACATAAAAAAGGACACTGCATGTAGCTCGTCGGACTCGGATTGATGTCATGAAGTGTCCAAGGATGGTGGTGTCTGACACGATACAATACTTGTTGCCTTTGGACACTGACAAACCGTCCTAGTAGGATTGTCCATGCATTATAGGTTGTACCTCATCATATCTTGACAGTCAATTTATTGGCCTAAATCTATGCTTTGCCTAGAATATGCATTTTTCATCGCCTGCTCTGTCGTATTCTGTATCTTTTGCAACCTTCTACTTCTCTTTTCCAGATATCTAATGTCTTTTTATTTGTATGGCGCACAGGTCTGGGCACGCCTATTCGACGAGGTTTGGGAGGCATATCGCTTCTCAAGTGGTCCCCCGCAGGAGATTATTTTTTTGCTTCAAAATTGTACTGTTACTTTTTTGGAAAATTTCCAGCTGCATATGCATGTTATTGACCTTCAGAAAGAAATGTTATGTTATTGAAAAGGAAAGAAAATTAAATGTTCGTAAACATGCATCTTCAAATCAAATTGACCATCACATTTTGTGCAGTGATGGGACATTTTATCTTTGGGAGACAAACACATGGACATCAGAACGATGGTCATCAAAAAATGGATTTGTCACGGTTAGTTAATCCCCTATAATTTCTGTGGTTGTTACCGTACTACAATTGATAAAGATCTTGTGTATCTTGTTGGATGTCTTATTGGCTCTTTTATGGCTGAGGGAGTCCACTGTAACTAGCATGCTGCATTTTTCTCGCAACAACTCTTCTTTTGTATGGTTTGGTTTCTGTTCTCTGGGGGAAATATAACTTGTTTATGGAGTAATATGGGGTTTCCCAGAGAGAGTTTTACGACTATAACATGTCAGGTTGGAAACAATACTATACTTGTTGTGATTGGAGTTGCAGTGGGTGCAAGATGGCTATTTTCAATCATTTGCATATCAAGTGTATGCGGAAGGATTAGTTTTTAACATTTTTACCATCTCACTCCATTTTCCTATTGTTTTTGCATTGCTATATTGCTGAAGCATCCAATAGTTTTCTAATCATGCACAATATTTAGCTGAAGGATCAAAACCACAAGAATTGAGGTTGTAATAGTTAATATGAAGCTTAATTAGAAGTTGATGCTTTATCTTGCCATGAGATGTTTTTAATGTCATTACCTTCACCAGATTGTTTCTTTCTTCTTTACTGTTGATACAAGCTGAAATACTTGTATCCTAGTCTTTTGAGTAATGTTATTTGTGAACAGTGCTTACAAACAGCAATATGTGGCAGTGACTCCACTGCCACATTCTCCAATGAAGTTGGGATGCATTTTACTTCACTGGAGAATGTGGCAGTGACCTTTCTGCCACGTAGACTGCTGTATGTAAGCACGGCTTACAAATATCATTATTCTAGTTTTTTTACTTCATCTTGTTGATGGGGTTATTATCTAATTTTTTCTCTTAATTATTGGTGATAGGGAGCAACATGGGATCCTGATGGGCGCATGATTCTTATTGCGTGTTCTGAATCATCAACTTTAATTTCCATTCATTTTACATCAAAACCTCCATCACTAGGTATAGCAGCAGATTTCTCCAGGTTCCAAAAGTTCTTGGTAATTGATGTCTTAGTGTTAATTTGGACACATTTAAGTAAAGACTAGTTATGGTTTATAGCCTTTGATTTACATAATCATGTGATGGTAAAGGAACACAGGAGGGGGAATTTCATATGGAAGAGAATAATTTATATTTTTGAATTGTTAATTGTAAATGTTTTATGCATATTTAGAATATAAACTCAATTCTACATAGAAATCCATTATCAGTCTTGACTTCACAAGAAAATTACCCTTGGTTTGCTGGATACTGTTAACAAACAGGAGGTTTAGTTTAAAAGAACACTGTTGCTTCATACTCAAATTTTATTTGTTGTTTCTATGTGAATATGGCTCTGTTTGAGCCCCGTTTTTAGTGAAAAATGAGTTTTGTAATAGTTATTTTTTGGAGAATGTGTGGTTGAAAATGAGTTTGGGGAAGAATGAGGGTATGTTCTCTTTGCTGTTATCAGGCCATTTTCAGTTTTTAGTTTTCGAAAATACTGAAAACACGTTTACTTACCTATTTTCAGAAACGAATTTCCTAAAACGAGTTTAAAATTTACAAAAAAAAAGGAAAAATGCCAAAAAAGTCGTTTTGGCTGTTTTTAGTGAAAATCAAGCCAAAACTTCTTTTTTTTTTTTAAAAAAACAATTTTTCAAAATAACAAAAAAAACGCGTTTTTAGTAAGCTCAAAATGGACATTCAAAACCCAAAATGAATTCAAAACTCAAAACTAAAAATTGAAATACGAAAAGAATAGTCCCGAGTTTTTAAAGAATGAGGCTCAAACAAGGACTATATATCAAGACGGTATGTAGATCATTGCATGCTCAAATATTTCATTAGTATTCTGTTTTTGCTTTCAATTCTTGATGATTCTCTTCAGATGCACACCCCATAGCCGTTGAGTTGCCAGAGATACAATCCTTGACTGGCAGGTACAGAAATCCTTTTAATGTGTACTTACAGACTCACCCAACTTTTTAGTTAATTGTGCAACTAATGTCCACCTTGAATGAAATTGTTCTTGTTTTGGTATTACATGGAACTTCTTCACTTAATACAATGGGAACAGGGCAAACAGGGCAGTTGCTACCCACCACTGCCAGAAAATGAAAAACTTGAATCCTGGATTTGAATTGTCCACATAATATGTTATATGCTACAAGCCCTTTCTAGCAGACGGGGTTTTTTGAACATTTTTTTCCCAATATCTGTTATGTATGAAGAGACTTGTACTAATATGTTATATTACTCGAGCCCTTTCTAGCAGAAGGGATTATATTAATCATTTTTTTCTAGTAAATGTTATGTTTGAAGACACTTCATAATGCTGTCATTAATTTTCTTGTCATTTCTACAGCCAAGGCATTGAGAAGATAGCATGGGATGCTTCAGGAGAGCGCTTGGCTGTATCATATAGAAATGGTGATGAACTATACAAAGGTCTCATTGCCATATTTGATGTTAAAAGAGCTCCCTTGATTGCACCATCACTAATGTGAGTTCAAAATTTGCTGTTATCATTCAACATTTAGCTCGGTGAGAAGCATATTTTTTACTTGCTTATAAGAAAAGGCATTTGTTGTGGTGGCGGGTGTTGACATTTATATCTTAGGCAGGTTTTGATATGTTTTTTATATTTCAGTGGATTCATCAGAGGTCCTGGAGACATACCGAAGCCAATATCATTTTCGTTCTATGACAAGTTCAAACAGGGACCGTTGCTTTCTGTGGTTAGTCCTCTGACATATTTTTTCGTAGACACAAATGTTCTTGTTGGAATTTAGAGACATTTAAGCACAAGCTCAGGCAAAGGGAAAACAAGCATGAAATGTGTAAATCATTCCAGATTTATAATCTATTTTCATTCAATGTGACTTGCACTTATAGTTAGACATGCTTCTGTCAAGTAATATGGTCAACATCACCTCTCTTTTGCAATCATTTCTTGCCAAACTTTGATTCTTTGCAGTGTTGGAGCAGTGGATTTTGCTGCACCTACCCACTTATATTTCGTTCACATGTTCTTCCTTAGTCCAAGGTATTGGTCTTAATCCAGCATTCCAATATAAATGTGGATCTCTCTGCATATTACTGTAAAATGGTTGAGATGCCCTAAAGAATATTACTTGCATTTTCTTTGAATTGCTGACTGGAAATTTACAGCTTTTTTGTACGATTTGTTCTGTAGAGTTGGGATGTGAAGGCAAATGTAAATGTGCAATGTTGCAATGCTCGGAAAAACATTCTCTGTGGTGATCGTTAAATTGTTTTAAGACCCTGATAACTGCTGATTATGATGGGCACTTGTTGCTGTTTCAGTTTTTTTCTTCAACAACTTCTGAAGTGGTTTTTCAATTTTAAGGTCATAATTTTTTGAGAATCTGGTGCGTGTACAAAATTCTGTGTCAAAAAATTTAGATCAAATTTTGATGGTTGTATTGGAAATTGCATCCATATTAATTCTATGATGAATACCTTTTTGGTTTCCTGTTGGACTTGCATGGCCTGTATTCCCTATAGTGAAAAATGTTTGTTTGTAGAAAAATCAGACGACTTCCAATGTAATAGATTAGGTTCCGTTTGGTAGGGTCTCCGTTTCTTCTAAAAAGGCTTTCTGAGTAAGCTATCCAAAGCTAGCTTCCTCGAAAAGTTCTTTAGTCCCACAAAGTACTTTCCAAACATATTCAAAAGCAGCTTCTTATTAAATACTCTCTCTACCCTCATTAACTTGACCGCTAAACCCGCCGCTCTCTTTACAATTACAAGACAATGCAACGTGCCATTGAATTGAGAAATTGATGATTTTTTACTCTTTTTGTTTTGTGAAATTTTCACAAATTTTTTTTTTTTGTTAAATTTTCGTATCATGAAGATGTTTTGAAACCTTGTTTTACGTAGAATGTTGAAATCTTCACAAAAAATTACACCCCCAGCAACTTAGTTATGATATCATTGTATCAAAATATATAAATTATACTTTAAAAGCTTGTACATTAGAAATAAAATGTGAAACTCACGTGGCTTCGCCGACATTTCCTCTCAAATCACGTGTTGAACAAAAAATTAGAAAACTACATCTTTGCAATTTTTGTTCTAGTCTTGATTTGGGAATCCAATGATGGCTCGAACGGGATTTCACTTGTGGTCATTTGAACGTTCTTACAAGTTTATTGGAATTGATAAGATGTCACATGATCATGCTTAATGGCCATATAAAGCCCATGAATATATCAATTACGATAATTTTAAATGTGTTTCTATTTCAATCCATAGACCACACGGAAATTTTTAAGAATGTAATTCTTCGACGGCAAAACTCTTTTGGGTGAGTGAGCACAAAATCCATGCATACTCTAACGTTTTGCAACTAGCTGTCCCAGTAGTTAAGTCGTATTTGATAGTATGACAAAAACGTTTTCCAAGAGGGGTGAGTTTGTACTGTATCACTGTCCCATCCTCACGAGATATCTCCATGGCACAACCATAAAGCCTCGCCTAAGTCAATTTCAAATAGTTTGAACATTTGTTGAGTATATGTAGTTGCTGCATGTTTTAAGATTGCAATGTCCAGTGACAATGATATTTACTTTTGAGTTCCTCTGAAATCAGCCTGTAGCTCTTCATATCGTCGATGCTCAGTCAACCTTTGAAAATGACGAAAAAAACCTTTGATAAATCATGTTCGTAGCTGACATAACCTTTTATAGAGCTATTCATACTTTCACTACGTTGAGTTGTGGTCGTGTCCGCACAAAATGTATCCCTACCATAGACAGAAGCCCATTTTTGCTTGAAACTGAACATTCGCTTCAACCAATTATTATCATGATGGTCATACTTCTCAAGCATCCCATGCCAAGCTTGCATAAATTCTTCCTCTTCTTCATAACCAGATACACACCGACTAAAATCTTTAGAATCCGTTTAGTCCGCAAAAAATTTCGATATTCATCACGAGTGAATCCGAGATTTTCATGACCACCCGCTTTCCTAGCCATTAATTCACATCATTCTTTTGGAGCAATTCCTGAGTCGTCGACTAAATCAATTTCAGCTGTTTGGGAGACAGTCAATCTCCTTTGAGTCCTATGTAAGTGACTCTTGCCGGGACTTGATGTCACATGTGTATGTGCAGATATTTATCTGTTTGGCGACAATGAACTTTCATTCTAGCAAGACAACCAAATCTTGTTTCGGCATGACGGTGTTTAACATTAAGACATCGTTTATCTACTTCACGGTGACCTTCACAACAGCAACAATCTTTTTGTCCTTTACTTCTTCGAATACTGAAACCTACTTTATAAGCATAAGCAATACAAATTTTGAAAGATCAGCCATTACTTGTGTTCACTAAAACTGTATTAGGTAGCTTTAAACAAAGATTAGACAGAAATTGTATAAGCATGTTTAACAAAAATAAATTAGTGAGATTTTCAAAATTCTACCAAAATAGTAAGATTAAAATAGAACAAACACGAAATTCGGGATACATAAAAATGGAATTTTTTTGGTTATGAAGCAAAAAAGAAGACAGAAATTGAACTTCATGCATTTCTTTTACAGTATTTGGTGGTTCTATTAACTTTCAATTAGAGGGAGTGATAAAAGGTTAAAAGGAGTACCCTATGCAGATTGAGGAAAAGGGAAATTGAAATTCTGCAATTTGATTCTTGTTCCTTCCTTCATCAACGTGCAAATTTCTTGAATTGGAATGCAAGAAGGTGAAGGGTTTTACTGTAAAGAGAGTGGTGGGTTAATGGTGAAGTTAATGATAGTAAAATTGAGACTTTGTGAGAGAGAGAATATTTAACTGTGTTAAAAACCTGTTAGGGATGAAAAATTAAAATAGACGACATGTTAATTAAAAATGAGGTGTCAATATTTGATTGGATGGACAACAGATCTTCACTTTTTATTTTCGGGAATAATGCCGAGGTGACCGAAAATGGGTGACCGAGGCTTTGACATCCTCTCACATCTGCCGACCCCACATGAATAAAAAATTCCAAAAACGAAGTGGCCCCCACCCCCTATTGTGAGAGTCGGTCAGCCCCTCTGTCAAAAATTTTCTGGTATTGTAGCATGGTTTCGGACATGCAACAACATCCACGAAGCATTACAATGTCTTATAGAATGCCTGCATTAGGCGGGTTTTGCTGGTTGTACAGGGCCACTACCGGTATAATTGGCATTAGGCGCCCCCGTAGACACGGTGTTCAAACACGCTGAGCATCCAACTCTACATCATCCACCCGTCATCCGTCCTAAAACGAAGAGCAATTGATTCAATCACTTCAAGGTCAAAAGGGCCTCGAAATCATTCCGACTTCCGAGCATGCTGTCGTCACGAAGCCATTGTGATCACTGATCCGGTAAAACCTTCTTCGGCCCGAACTGTCGCGTCTACGTTAAATTCTAGTAGCCCCGTCCTCGGTTCATACTACGTTCTGCATTCAGCATCACTTAAAGCCTTCGCTCCTATTGTTCATTGTAACTTTACCACCTCCAACAATGTCGTATCAGGCCTTTCTCGTATCCTGTTCCTCTCACCCCAAATGGTCCAAAGTAGACAGATAATAAGTGTGAATTCCTCCCTACACTTTAACAGAGAAAAATATACAGAATTGGATCATTTACCTAAGCCCCCCGACACCTCTTCTGATTTTACCACCTCCCAAAACCCTGCAGCTTTCCGATCTCGTTTACTAGAGGAACAATAAAAGAAAACGTGCATGTTGGACTCGTCATTTCCGCACCTTGGGCACAACAAATCAACTGGGATTTTCCTTTCAGCCAGACTTGAAAGTGTTAGCATTGGATTTTCTAAAGGTCTCCAACAAAAAATTCGAGTTTTTTTGTTTGGTGGGGGGTAGAAGCGGACTCTAGACTTTTTTTCATCAGCAGTGAGACTAAACGAACTCGGTCCGTTGGCATTAAACATCATTGTGTAAATCTTGGAGGCTGAAAAGGAATCTGTTGCACAATGTCAAGATATCAGCACTGATCTGAATGTACTGCCATTGTAATTGATTCATGCTGAACTCTGTTGGAGAAATTGGTATATAACTTTTATTGGACAATTAAACTTTTTAAGTCTTTTTGGAATGGTTGGATATTTGACACAAATCAATTTGGATTATTAGATATCACCATTTCAAATTGGGACATGATTTGACAATCTAGAACGCACTCTACACAAAGGTTCAAGACTATTCATTTATATACATCTTTGAATAATCACATCCTATCCGAAAAAATCACGACTTCTCAAGATGCACCCTTTACATTTGAAAAGTCACGTCTAATTATGGCACCTATTGGAGACTTTTTCAATTCACACAGTTAATTGTTAACTAACCAGTAGACTACAACAAATTCTCCTTACTAACTAAATGAAGTGTTCCATTCGAATCTTGCTCATGATGAAGGAAAAAGACTTTCTTCCATTTTTATCAAGTTTTTCCTTTTCCGTTGCATAAATATAGAGACTCGTTATTTATATCTAAGTCGACAACATTGTTCAAAATTTCTTTAACCATTACTATGATGTCTTTTGGGCTTGTTGGAAATTAACACAAATCTGGGAAGTAGGGAAAAACATTTTCTTACCATACCCCAAAATCGAGGGTTATAAATGTTGACCGTGTGATTTGTGTGTAGATTATCAATTAACATAACAAATTAAAATAACACAGTATAAGAAAAGAGTTAGAAAGTAAGCCTTAGGGAGTGACGTTAACAACGTTGTCCTAAAGTCGTGTTGTCTTCCCACGTGCGGGTTCTTTTGACACCATGGACACGACCACACCAACTCCTCCGGCTGGACAGTTATTGTCACCATCCTGATCACACAGCACCTTCACGCGAAGTGCGACTTCATTTCTATCAATGCACGAAGCACACCCTGTGGATGCAACTAACAATGATTCGTCACTGATGATGGACCAAGGATCAATATTTGATGGTGTTTTCCGGCCCCCGACTTCAAAACCTGGGGATATCTTATTATAATTTTTAACTTCAAAACATCCAGAAATTTTGCAAGTACTATAATGTTTGAGATACCAAGGAACATCATGCAGTCCCATAAAGGAAAGGATCCGGGAATTCTCAAAACTGCTAGTAGCCGATCTTATTTCACTTTTACAGAAGCACATATCCACTATAGTACTTCCACAAAAGCATAAATCTGGCTTTAACATGTACTATGAAATATGATTATTTTATCAATTGTATGTGTTGACCTCGAAAAA